CGGTAAAGATGACATAAAATTTTGCAACAACATCCTTCAAAACGCTAAAAGAGTAAAAGAACTTCTACAGAAACACCATGATCTCTCGAATGCCAGAACATATGAGCGACAAGGATGGGATTCGAACGCACGCATGCAGATCACAATAGATTAGCAGTCCATCGCCTTAACCACTCGGCCACCTCGTCACATATTTTACTTCATCTCTGGTAGAGGCCGGACTGTGGCACATATTTCTATATGTATGTTTCTGCAACTATTTTCGGTAAGATGACTTTCAGTTTTGCCGTATGAACGACAGAGCAAATGAACGACAACAATGGGATTCGATGGACTCGGCCACCTCGTCATGTATGTACTCACTTTCATGAAGGGGGCTGGAATATGACATTTCTGTATGTATTTGCTACTATGTTCGGTAAAGATGATGTTAAATTTTGCAACAACATCCTTCAAAACGATAAGAGCGTGCAAGTAAAAGACCTTCCACAGAAGCACCGGCCTCTTTCAAACGCCAGAGCATTTGAACGACAAAGATGGGATTTGATGGACTCTTCCACCTCGACATGTATGTACTCACTTTCATGATGGGGGCTGGACTATGGCATATATGTTTGTATTTGCAGCTATTTTCGATATAGATGACATAAAATTTTGCAACAACATCCTTCAAAACGCTAAAAGAGTGAGAATAAACGAACTTCTACAGAAACACCATGATCTCTCGAATGCCAAAAAAAATGAGCGACGAGGATGGGATTCGAACCCACGCGTGCAGAGCACAATGGATTAGCAGTCCATCGCCTTAACCACTCGGCCACCTCGTCACATATTTTCTTTCTTCTCTGGTGGAGGCCGGACTGTGACACTTATTTGTATATGTATGTTTCTGCAACTATTTTCGGTAAAACGACTTTCAGTTTTGCCGTATGAACGACAGAGCAAATGAACGACAAAAATGGGATTCGATGGACTCGGCCACCCCGTCATGTATGTACTCACTTTCCTGTTGGGGGCTGGACTACGGCATTTCTGTAAGTATTTGCTGCTATTTTTGGTAAAGATGACGTTAAAATTTGCAACAACATCCTTCAAAACGATAAGAGCGTGCGAGTAAAACACCTTCCACGGAAGCACCGGCCTCTTTCAAACGCCAGAGCATTTGAACGACAAGGATGGGATTCGATGGACTCTTCCACCTCGTCATGTATGTACTCACTTTCACGATGGGGGCTGGACTATGGCATATATGTTTGTTTTTGCAGCTATTTTCGATAAAGATGAAATAAAGTTTTGCAACAACATCCTTCAAAAGGCTAAAAGAGTGAGAGAACTTCTGTGAAACACCATGACCTCTCGAATGCCAGAACATATGAGCGACGAGGATGGGATTCGAACGCATGCGTGCAAAGCACAATGGATTAGCAGTCCATCGCCTTAACCACTCGACCACCTCGTCACGTATTTTTCTTTCTCTCTGGTGGAGGCCGGACTGTGGCACATATTTGTATATGTATGTTTCTGCAACTATTTTCGGTAAGAAGACTTTCAGTTTTGCCGTATGAACGAGAGAGCAAATGAACGACAAAAATGGGATTCGATGGACTCGGCCACCCCGTCATGTATGTACTCACTTTCCTGGACTACGGCATTTCTGTATGTATTTGCTGCTATTTTCGGTAAAGATGACGTTAAATTTTGCAACAGCATCCTTCAAAACGATAAGAGCGTGCGAGTAAAACACCTTCCACGGAAGCACCGGCCTCTTTCAAACGTCAGAGCATTTGAACGACAAGGATGGGATTCGATGGACTCTTCCACCTCGTCATGTATGTACTCACTTTCATGATGGGGGCTGGACTATGGCATTTCTGTATATATTTGCTGCTATTTTCGGTAAAGATTACGTTAAATTTTGCAACAACTTCCTTTAAAACAACACCTTTCCATCCCCCATACTCACTCACTTCTAACATGTCCAACTCCAAGTTTCCACCTGTGGCCATATTCTCTCCTCTCTCTCTGGACTCTGGATCACTGCTCTTCTTACCCTGGAGAACTCTTTCTGCACTGCCAAGCACCAACATTGCTCTCCAAATAGATACTTGGTTGTAATAGGCTGAATGAGTGGGCCTTACAAACCATTCACCTTCCAGAGAATTGTATTTTCTCTTGTCTTTTGCTCTTTTTTTTCTCATAAGTTTTCTTTACGCAACAGTGAGAGTGTGAGTAGGCTACTCCATATTCTCTCCTCTCTCTCTGGATTTTGTACAACACGTGGAATTTCAGCCTGGTAAGTATGCTGAAGCTGCACATAACCCTCCCTCGCACCCATCTATATGTTGTTTTTATGTTGTTTTAACAATGTTCAGATTTTGTTCATTTGTTTGCACTTGTATATACTGGAAGTTGTTTATTTTCTTTAGTGTAGTCATTATTTGATATTACTATTATATACAGTCTTCTATTGTGTCGTTATTTCACATTCTTATTAAAAAGTTGCAGAAATGACCCAGAGTCACAAAGTTCTGTTTCAGTGGATTCATATGCTTTTTAAACTAAATAAAAGTGTAAACACAGACACAATGTTGGGATATAATTAATGATCATTTAAACTATTTATTCTATTTAAAAACATGCAATCCTTTAAATGAGAAAATACACTTCATTATTTAAAACATATGAAGCTTTTTCAGATAAGTACAACACTGTTTCCCCTTCACCTGAAAAGTGATGTGATAGTTTAAATAAATATGAAAAGGAAAATGACAGGGAAAAAAAAAACTTAATGATCAAATTACCAATTTTTCTGTCATTTTCCTTTTTCCATGTGATCAGCCGAGGACAAGAAAGAAAGAATCCACAAATATCCACAATATCCTAGAAAAAAACACTGAAATATCAGGCTCTGTATGAGAGCTGCTCTTTGAAGAGAATAAGGCAATTAGCCTAATTAAAAAAGAAAAATTACAGTCAAATACAATAATAATTTATTTAAGCAAAAGAGAAAAAAGTCAATCTATTTTGTACAGAATTCAGTGTAAAATGTGAACATGAATGGCAGCTGTTGTTTTTGATCTAACAGCAGCAAAACTACATGCTGAATGCCGTGTGCTTGCGTCAGGATGATGATGATACTGACTTTTTTTTCCTTTTTCAAAACAGTTTAAAACAAAACAAATAAAACAGCAATAAAAAAAACAAGCAAACAGACATTTTCAAAGGAACATGGAAACAAAAAAGACATATGAGTGTCAAAGGTCACTGAATATAATCTTATTTACATTTGTATTTATCGTTGATAAAATGTTGCTATATAACATTTTGTTTAAGGTTATGTGTCAAAGATCAACAGGCTTCAAACATATATAATAAAAGCACCACAATAAAATTAAAACAAAGTAAATGTCAGTACTTCTATGTCATACACCTCTTTAAAAATATCATACCATTCGCCTACAGATGCAGGATCTTCCTTGAGCCATTTCTTTGTAATGGCCTTTTTGCTAGTTGTTAGTAGTGTGTTAAGAAGATACACATAATTTTTGGTATTTCTGCAGAGTAAATTACCAGGTACATAGTTTTAAAATTACATTCCAGATTCAATCCCTTTATTGTATTTATCTCTTTATTTAAATCTTGCCAATAGGTGTTTATAATATTACTGTGTCAAAATATTTGGACATGATCTGACTGAGCTGTGCTGCCTTATAATAATCATCTAATTAATCTATATCCTGAATATAATCCAAATTTTTCAAGAGAATACATCACCTTGGGTAAACTAAAGTCTGGGTATGTAAGAAACAGAAACACATCATCAGTGTATAAACAAATTTTATGTTCAATATCTTTCTTAATTTTCATTCCCCTTATTTCTGTATCATCTCTGATTAGTTGTGCCAATGGTTCAATAAATAAAGGACTTAATGGGCATCCTTGTCAATATCCTCTTTCTAGTATAATATGTTCTGAAATATCTCCGTTCATTTTAATTCTAGCTGTAGGATCCAAATCATTGCAGAACTAAATATAAAAAAATCCCAACTCATCGAATCGAATGCTTCTTCTGCGTCTAGGCTACTTAGAAGACTGCGAACCTTGTTATGAGATATAAAATCTATTACGTGAAGGGCTCGCCATATATTATCATATGCTTGTCTTTGTTTTAAAAAAACCTGTTTGATCAGTATCTATTAGGTCTGGAAAAATGTCCTCTAATCGTTTAGCTAATATAGATGCATAGAGTCTATAGTCAATATTTAGGACTGAAATGGGTCTATATGAATTACACTCTAGTGGATATTTTCCTTCTGGAATCACAGATATGATAGCTTCTCTCCAGGATCCAGGTGGGTTCGCCCTCATGTAAGGTATGATTACAGCATTCAAAAAGCATTGACATCAACTGTTCTTTAAATATTTTATACCATTTTGCAGGGAAGCCATATATGCCTGGTACTTTAGATGTTTTAAGTTTTGATATAGCATTGCTTATTTCTTCTATGGTTATTTTTTTGAGTTAGGGTTTTATTTTGTATTGATCCAATTGATGTTAAATCTAATGTGTGTAAAAATGCTTGTATGTTTGCAAGTTCAATATTGTCTTTTGAGGTATATAATTCCTTACTAATTCCTTCCTCCAATTTATGACATATCTTTTTAGTTTTGGGATCTTTGATTTAAAATAATACTCCTCTCTGCCTGTTTCCTTATTCTTCATGCCAGGAGCTTTTGGACCATTTTCATAAAATTTAAAAATGTAAGTTTTAATTGAACTTGCTCAGCGAATATTTTATTGAGTTTAGCTTTAACTTCTTTGATCTTATTAAAAATATCTGGATCTTCTTTATTACCATATTTAGTCTCTAATTCTTTATTCAGATTATTCATGTAATTCAGTTTTTTTTCCTTGATCCTCACATTATAAGTTTACATCGCATATCAGCTTTAGCTGCGTCCCTGTCACGTTAGCGTGATCAAAACAGAAACAAAAAGGTGTGAATCAAAGTGCAGGTTTATTTACAATCGTGCAGCAAACAGAAAAACAAGATGTCCGGTGTTCAAAAATAACAAAGTAACAAATAAACAGCAAAACAAGAAACTATGACAGAAACAGGATCAGGAACAAGACTAAGGTAACAACAAACTCGATATTTAAGACTTACTAGAAACTGATGACAAGAAAGAAAAACGATGCTGTGACAAACAGAGGTGAAATGGTTGTATAAATAGTCCAGGAAATTAACAGGAACAGCTGTGAGTCAATCAGTGTACGTGGACCAGGTGTAATGCGCGTGGTATGTATGAACTTGTAGTCTTTTGGGCGCTGTAGTCAATTCTCAGAGTCTGTGAACTCCGGTGGTCACTGACCGTCATGACAGTCCCATAGGACACTAGATGACAACTCTCCATTATTATTGTTTTAAAATATTCTAATAATTCTTTTTTTGACATGTTCTACGCACGTTAAATCATTCAAATGATTAGGGTTAAATCGCCAAAATGTCTTTTTGGGTTTATTGTCCAGGTACACTGTTAAATATACTCCTGCATGGTCTGAGATGTCCCTTGTCCCTTCCTATTGTACAGTCTTTTATTTTATGTTGATCTGACCCAAACATAAAAAAATAATCAATTCTAGAATGAGACATGTGGGCAGAAGAAAAGAAAGTATGTTCTTTTTTAAAAGGGTATATGTCTCTCCATACATCAATTAAGCCTAATTCTTTCATCTGATATCTTATTTGTCTAGTTTCTTGACTAATTTGCTTATTAGAAGATAAGTACAATTTAGGCTGAAGTTGTACATTCCACTCTCCCCTACAGATCAACGTAACTGATGTCTCCTTGGCTATAACACTTACTATTTTTTTGAGAAATGCTTTGTCTTTTTCAGGTGGTCTATTTAAATTAGCTAATGTAACTTTGTTTTGGTTGATAGTTCCTTTAATGAGGTTATATCGTCCTTCTTTATTAGTAATCTTGGAAATTAATTGTAAGCTGATTTTGTTTGAGATTAATGTCATTACTCCTCGTTTACGACCATTATTATATGAGGAAAAGAAAACCTTAAATCCCTTTTTTTCTAAATTCTTATGTTCTGTATCAGAAAGATGCGTCTCTTGCCAGATTATCTGTTGCTTTTCTCTTTTCATTTTAGCCACGATTTCTTTTAATCAAATTTACTAACCCATTAATATTTAAAGTAATGACTCTATATTCCTGTTTTTGCATATACTATAAACAGATGTTATTGCGAAGATCACAGTGACCGTAACATGAAAAACACAAACATGAACATCTTGAACCACATAAACAACATAACGAAAAAGGTTTCCAAACCTTAAAGTCTTAAATAACTTCTTAATGAGAGGGGAAAGCTTTCCTTCTCTAAAGGGCCCCTTGTTGCTGTGCCTATTGCACAAAAAAAATGTTAACAAATATATTCAGCGCCTATATCTGGCAATATTATATTCTTGTATTTCTGGTTTGGTTTTCAAGTTAAGTATTTCTAATTATAGCAAGGGATTTTAAGTGTATAAACTGGAATCCCTTTATTTCTTCCTACCAGTATGTTACTCAATGACTCGAGTCTTGGTGTGCTTTAATCGTTTATCTTGTGTTGTTGGTCAGTTGGGTTTAATACCATTCCTCCTTTAAATGTTCATCATCGGTGAGTCAAGTCAAGAAGTTTTACCAGTCTCTCAGAGTTCTTTGTCAGGATCTGTCAGGTTTTACCCTTCTTTTAAACAGAGCTAGTGTTGTCCCTTTAAAATTCAAGTAGTTTTTCACAGATCTTCACTTGATGTTTTTCCTTACTTTTCTTCAATGTCACTCCAAACTTTGTCAAGGTCTTTGTTTCAGTTTCCAAGAGATTCCTATAATAGTTTCTTCTTCACTGTTTATCAGTCCTTTTTCTTTCAGATCTCTTGATGCCTCCGTCATCGAATTGTACATGACCGGATCGTTTTCGAGAAAGATTCTAAGTTTCGCCGTCGGTGGTGTTTGGAACTTAATCCCCTTTTTTTTCAGAATTTTTCTTATCGGAGCAAAAGCCGTCTTTTCTGTTGGATCTCAGGTGGGTAGTCTTGGTCAAAGAAAATCCTTTTTTTGTTCCAGTGTATTACTTTTTTTCTCCATGCAAAGTGGAGGACAAGGTCCTTTGTTTTTTTTTCCAGGAAGAATACACCACTGATCAAGTGGGGTGCGTCAGCGGGTGATTTTGGTCCAAGTGCCCGGTGACACCGTATAATTTTAAGGTCCAATTCATCGAGTGACAGCTCCGTTTTGATAATCGTTTCCACCAAGTCTTGGCTATTATTCACTTTGCTTCCTTCTGGGATTCCAAAAATCTGAATATTATTTCTATGGGAGTGGGTTTCTAGATCGTCCTGGTTACGTACGTAACCCACGTTTCCTAAATAGGGAACGGAGACGTGTGTCTGTATAAACTTTGGGAGTGCTTTAGACGACCAATCATTTCTGAAGATATTAAAACGGGCCAATGAACTGCTAATTGAATTGGCGGTGCTTAGCTCCACAGTTGAAACTGATGAGCCAATTAGTCTATCACGCTTTTGATGTGTAGTTTGCCAAGCCAAAGCGTGAGCACACTGACATCACCAAGAGCGCAACCTTCCAACGTCCCCTTTTGCGTTTGTAAGTAAGTCACCTAAGTCTTTCTCGCCCTGTCTATGGACCACACGTGGAGGTTCCAGAGATCTGGGCATGGAAGCCAGATGTTGCCCCGTCCCTGAGAGAGGAGGTCCTCCCTTAGGGGAATGCGCCAAGGAGGGGTCGCCGCGAGGAGTGTAAGCTCCGAAACTCAGGTCAGGTTGGGCCGGACCTCAGGTCCGAAGGGGCGCAACAATCAAGACCTGGTTTTCATCCTCCCTGACTTTGCACAAAGTTTGTGCGATTAGGCTCACTGGGGAAAAGGCATATTAGCGAATGCCCGATGGCTAGCTGTAAGCCAATGCATCCGTGCCAAGGGGGGCCTCGGTCAGGGAATAAAATGGCTGGCTTTGTGCATTCTTGGTGGAGGCAAACAGATTGATCTGGGCTTCCCCAAAGCATGCCTATATCAGCTGGACCGAATCGTGGGGGAGTCTCCACTCTCCCCGGGACACTAGCTGCCGTGAGAGCGCATCGGCTGCACAGTTGAGCTCGCCCAGAATTTGGATGGCACGCAATGATTTCAGCCGCGTGTGACTCCAAAGGAGCAGACGGCGAGCGAGCTGAGACATGCCGCGGGAGCGTATAACCCCCATACAGTTGATATAAGCCCCCGTCGCCATGCTGTCCATCCTGACCAGCACGTGTTGCCGCTCCAGCAACGGTAAAAATTGGCGTGGAGCTTGTTTACTAAGGAAAGCATCACCCTGGCGCGCTCCTCGGAGAGGCGCGCAACCATAGCGACCGAATCCAGCTCCAGCCCGAGATGAGAGATCCTCTGCACAGAGCAAAGTTTGCTCTTCTTTCGGTTGACCTGAAACCCCAACTGGTCGAGGTGCCGAAGCACTTTGTCTCTGTACATAATCAGCAGATCGCGGGACAAGGCTAGAAAGAGTAAATCGTCACGATAGCGGAGTATGCGGATGCTCGCAAGGTGCAGTGGCGCCAGGGCACCCTCTGCGAGCTTGGTGAACACCTGCGAAGACAGAGAGCCCGAAGGGGAGGACTTTGTATTGCTACGCTCGTCCTTTGAACATGATCCGGAGAAAGGGGCAGTGGCGTGGAAGAATGGAGACGAGAAAATATGTGTCCTTCAGGTCTATGGCTACAAACCAATCCTGTGGACGGACGCTCTGAATCAAGTGTTTCTCCTTGAGTATTCTGAAAGGCATTTTGTGTAAATGACAGTTCAGTCTGTGCAGATCTAGGACCTCATCTCGGCTGGAGGGACCTGCTCGATTGCATGCTTCGCCAGGAGGACAGGAATTTCCTCTCGCAAGACATCTCGCGAGATGAGAGTGCTCATCCCAAGAAGCAGTGCGTCCCGAGAAAGCTGAAAATAAGAGAATTTCTCTTGCCTTCCTCCCTGGATCCCGTGGTGAGACCGGAGTGAGAGAAAGGAGTCTGCTGCACTCTGAGAACCTGAGGCGAAGGGTCCCGGCGCTGCGAGCTGAAAGGCAGAGCGTCCCAGACTGGCAGTGCTCAGATTTGCGCATCCGGAGAGAGAGAGAAAACTGCTCTTTTGTAAATTTGGTTGCTGCTGGCCCGGAGGCCAGCAGCGATGAGTTTAGAGTCGTTGTGGACTGATGTAATAATCCTCGGCCTCCCACTGAGGAAAGCAGTTCCCCTCTTTTCCGAGTGGCGCGGAGAATTCCTGGGTGAACTCCCCAACAGTGTCGCCGAAAAGGCCAGCCTGGTATATGGGAGTGTTGACAAAGCTCACTTTATTAACGTAACTCATATTAGCCAAGCTCAGCCGTTTCTGGACCATTAATGTGGCCATCGTCTTCCCCAGGGCACGAGCAGACGATTTGTTGATGATGAGAGGATAATCGGTTGCCACGCAGAGCTCATGCAGCAAGCCCTGGGGGAGAAGCGCCCTCCTGCACCTCGGCCAGTTTCTCAGCTTGGTAGCGTTGATAGGTGGCCATAGTGTGCAGAGCGGAGGCGCCCTGACCCGTAGCAGTGTAGGCTCTGGCCATGAGAGACTCAGATAACCTGCATGCCTTGGAAAGGAGTTTGAGCGAATCTACACGAGTGGAAAGGCTAGCACGCTCCCCTCGGGGAATCGCCTCATATTCCCTGGCCGCTCCATCGTAGACCTCCATCGAAGGTGAGAGCAGGAGCGCACGAGGACAGGGCAGAAAAAGGTGCCCTCCATGCCTGCGTGAGTTCTCTGTGTACCTCCGAGAAGAAGGGGACGAGGGGTCTAGAAGGCTTCGTCTTTTTCTTCACCCCCACGTAGCACCCGACTAAGCAGTCTGGCCGCGGTTCTGGGTGGACAAACCATCTCCAGCCACATGGCCGAAGCAGCCCGGGATAACACGGCTAACATGTCCAATTCCAGATCAGTAAACATACTGACAACCCTGAAGGGTGGCAGGGGGTCCGGATCTTCCTCGGAGCATGTCAACCCACCCTCCGATGCAGTGATGGACGTCACGCCCCCGGTGACATCTAATGAAAGCACGCCCAGCTCGGAGGATGGACCAGCGCTCACACTCGAATCAGAAACAGAGCGCACTGGAGAGGAGCGAGGGGTCCGCGGGCCCGAAGGCAACGGATTAGCCCCCACTGTAACCCTCAGGCCTGCCCAAGTGCTAACGGCTAGGCGGGGAGCAGCAGGGGTGACTTTCCCTAATAAAAAGCACAACAGTCAAGCCGTCGCAATGCGAGCAAGAACTGTCCGCGAGCACTGCATCAACATGTTGGACCCCCAAGCATGTGACGCAATACTCGTGCCTGTCATCCGGGGCGAGGAAACCACCGCATCCAGAAACGCATGGTCGAAACGACATCTTTAAAAAGACGTACTGTACGTTTGTGTGCTCTCATAGGGAATAATGCTCTTTCAGTAAACTGCTCTTTCAGATCACCAGAGAAACGCCAAGGGGACGGGAAACCCAGCTTGACCACCGCTAACACGTCTTCTCCCACACTGGTGAAGGTAAGGCTTTCTTCAAGTTGGAAGTCAGCTCAGCAGAAGGGTTCTTCAGTCTCAGATCGGGTCTGAAGGAACAATTCGGATGAGCTAACTCGCACAGCTGACTGATATAGCCCTAATTGGCTCATCATTTTCAGCTGTGGAGCTAAGCTCTGCCAATTCAATTGGCATTTCATTGGGCCGTTTTAATATCTTTAGAAATGATTGGTCGTCTAAAGCACTCCCAAAGTCTGTTTATACAGACACTCGTAAAAGTTTCCCTATGAAGGGGAACTCACAGTTTCTCTTTTAAATTTTCTTGAATTTGGATGGTTTGATCGAGCATTTCTTTCATCGCAGCAACGTTCTCCAATTCTCCAACTCGCTGCTCCACTTTGTTGACCTTATCTGCTATTGCGTTTAGGTCTGTGAAAAGGCCATCCAGTTTTTGATTGACTTCTTGTTTAAAGTTACTTAGTTCCATTTTCACATCTTTGCAAGATAATCTTGGAAGGCGGTGAGGTCAGATTGAATATCCATTTGGAAAACTTTGATGTCTGGATGTATTGCTGCAATGCAAGCTGACAGGCTATCAGCTACCCCGTCCCTCTCGGATTTTTCATCTCTTTATTTCTCCTTTTTTTCAGGTTTCAATGGTTGTTTTGTCCAAGCCTTTTTGTTTTTGTCTTGCTTTGTGTTATTTAAATATGGTTTAGGTTATCATATATGTTGTAAAAAGGAGGATCAATACCAGTGTGTAAGGAAACGCTCTTTCTATGCTGCTACATGTGTTGACGCCATACTGGAAACCATCCCATGTGTTTCTTAAGCTGCCCCAAAAGAGTGAAACTCTGTACACACTGATCATGTCTACGGTTTCTCTCCAGTGTGAATCCTCTCATGTGTTTTCAGGGTTCGTGAGTGAGCAAACCTCTTACTGCAGTGTGAACACTGGTTTTGATATGGTTTTGCTCTAGTGTGAATCCTCTGGTGCCGTTTTAATTCTGCAGCTGTAATAAAAGTCTTCTCACACTCCAAGCACATCTACTCTCTCACATCAGTGTGGATCTTCATGTGTTTATTAAGGTTTGATGATGTGCTGAAACTCGTCCCACACTGAGTGCAAGTGTATGGTCTCTCTCCAGTGTGGATCATCATGTGTTGATTAAGGTGTGATAATTGGCTGAAACTCTTGCCACACTGAGTGCAAGTGAATGGTTTCTCTCCAGTGTGGATCTTCATGTGTAGATTAAGGGTAGATGACTGGCTGAAACTCTTCCCACACAGAGTGCATGTGAATGGTCTCACTCCCGTGTGGATCCTCATGTGTTTAGTAATGTATGATGATTGGCTGAAACTCTTCCCACACTGAGTGCATGTGAATGGTCTCACTCCCGTGTGGATCCTCATGTGTTCATTAAGGTGTGATGATTGGCTGAAACTCTTCCCACACAAAGTGCATGTGAATGGTTTCTCTCCAGTGTGAATCCTCATGTGTTTATTAAGGTGTGATGAGTGGCTGAAACTCTTCCCACACTGAGTGCATGCAAATGGTTTCTCTCCAGTGTGGATCTTCATGTGATTATTAAGGGATGATGAGCGGCTGAAACTCTTCCCACACTGAGTGCATGTGAATGGTTTCTCTCCAGTGTGGTTCATCGTGTGAATTTTAAGTTTGCGTTTGGTTGTCAAACTCTTCCCACACTGAGTGCATGTGAATGGTTTCTTTCCAGTGTGGATCATCATGTGTTCATTAAGGTGTGATGAGTAACTGAAACTCTTCCCACACTGAGTGCATGTGAATGGTTTTTCTCCAGTGTGGATCCTCATGTGAATCTTAAGTTTGCTTTTACTTGCCAAACTCTTTCCACACTGAGTGCAGGTAAAACAACTCTTGTCTCTCACTTTTAAAATGCCATCAGTCTCTAAATGATTTCTGTCCTCAATTTTGAGATGATGTTCCTCCTCTTTGATCTTCTCATAGTCTTTAATTAGGTCTGAAATAAAAAAAAGTTAGGTTTTTAGTAAATCATTAAAACTCTCATCAAAAGCTGAAGTAAAAAGGCACTAGTACATTGGCTACACAAACCTTAATTTTGATGCACATTAAATGTAAAAACAGCAGATCATATTTAGATTGATCTTGTCATATCAACCTCCTGGTGTCCATTACACACATACACATTTAAGCGGATTCTTATTTGATTGATCCTAGATCATTTCTGAGACATCAATTTGAAAGCTGTAAAGGGACAGTTTTTTTATTTGTATATATGCATAATCACAACAAAACAACAAGTTTTTACAAAACTTGTAAAGCAGGTGGGGAATGCTTTTTCATTCTGTGCCTGACTGGTAAACCTGTTAGAATGTACAGCTGAATCTCTGTGAATATTTGCCTCACATACATGAGACATATCTGCATAAAGCCTTAAATTAGCACCTTTAAATGACAAATGTTCTTTGGTTTAGTAATTTGCAAGTAACGATTGCAATGCAGAATTCTAACACCTAAAGGTTTCAGATCAACAAACAAATGTAAATATTAGTCAAAGATAACACAATTAAACACATTGTGAAGTTTTCAAATGAAAAGTTTTTATTCTTAAAAGGAAGACAAAGTACATAACTACACAGCCTTGTGTGAAAATGTTTTTCCCCATTAAAACATAACATCACACCAACTTCAAGTTCTCTAGCCACACCCAGACCTGATTACTACCAAACATGTTCGCAATCAAGAAATCACCAAAATAGACCTGTCTGACAAAGAAATACAGGGTGAGTAACAAAATAATATGTACACAAACAATCGATAATATACTGACAAACATGAAGGAAAATTATGTGGTATAAAGAGGAAAAAAAGGGAAACGAGAGCTCCTGTGACTGCAAATAAAAGCAGATGACAAGAGAAAATCTGTAACCCTGAACAGAAGGAAAGACCAAAAGCTTGAGGTACGGTGACAGTACCCCCTCCCTCAAGAACACCCCTTGGCGTTCCCTTAAACTGACTATGGATCTTTTTTTTTTTTTGCTCCTTCCTGAGCGTTTTATTTTAAGCACAACTAATTTTCCCTTAAATGAGCACAGTACCTAAAGTAGTCGAATGCTTCAATATAGATCTGTGTATTCTTACATTAACACCTCTATTATCAAACAAAACACAATGAGAGATTCATTTGCTGCTCTTCACTAAATAACTATAGTAACTTTAATCAATATGCAAATACAATTAAAAGTAAAGTAGATTTTATGGCTTTATTTAATTTCTGTATAGGCCATTGATTTTAATAGGCTAAACCTTTTATTTTATTGTCAATATTTTCTAATGTTTGCTATGTATTCTATCATTTGAAGCTATTTGATGTCCCATATTTTTTTGCATCCCAACATTGATAGATTAGTTATAAAGTCAGCTAATGTTATGGAAAGGCATACCCACATCATTCCTTCCTCAAGCTAATGTGTAAATATTAGCTATATTCAGCAATAATGTTAATTGCATTGGCATATTTATCTGATGTTTTCCCAGCTTGAAGTAGTCGATCAAAAAGCTATTTAGTTTCTTATGACTATACACTAGCAGTGGAATTAACTGCGATGTGAAGGGGCGCCACCTGAAATCTTGCTTAGGGTGCCATATTAGTTAGGGCTGGGCCTGATGTGAGTGCACCCTCAACCAGTCTGGGAGGCAGGGAAGCAGAGGTTATGGGCTGCAGGGGGGAGAGAAGAATGGGTTTGATCTTAGACACCTAAAAAAACGGATGAATGTTTTTAAACTGAGAGGAATGTCTTTGGAAGACAACCAGACTCTCTGACCACAAATGTATAGAGGGGGCAGATGCTACATTCCTATTGCCAGTCCATTTCTGGTGATCCTCCATGTCAAAAGGCATCTCTGAATGAACAAATGCATGAGGAAACAATGGCATCTGATTGTTAGGAAGAGAATACGTTTATTTCACACTGCCACCATTTTAAAGAATGAAAGCTAGGCTGTGGTGGGAAAAAAAAACATGGAAGTATAGGATCAGCACTGTAAACATTGCGACAACATGCTGTGGACTACAAACCTCCAGCTGTTGCCACAATTTGTAAACATCACTTTAATATAATTCAGTTCAGTTTAATTTAAACAATTAAAAGCAGATTAGGCATCAAACTAAATTACAATCTCTTTAACAGTTATACGCTTAAGTGTCTTAATAGGATTCAGTTCACGGCACCAGGTAAACTCTGTGGGGACGATTCCTTGCTACAGTCTATGTAACTGATTGAGCGATAAAACACCATCACACCCTCGTGTTGTCTGTAATAGTGTTGTCCCGGTACTGAAGTTTTTAAAACGTCCAATTCCTGCTAACATGTAGGTGCCACCGTGCGTGTTCTTAAACAGCGCTGATTTGCCATAGTGTTCACTGGTGCCCACCAGAAATGACTGTGATTAAGCTATACAGCCAGGTACAAAATGTTCCTTTGTTGCTCCAGGCGATACTTCCGGGTATCACCGGCCCTCCAGGACCGAGTTTGGACATGCCTGCTCTAGGGGAACGAGACAGGGCTGCCCTCTGTCCCCTGTGCTCTTTGACATTGCCATCAAACCTCTTGCAACCATATTAATGAACTCCGATGGCTTGCAAGGAATTTTTAGGGGACAAGAACATAAGGTCCTGCTATATGCGGATGATCTTCTTCTTTTTCTGTTAAATCCAGATACATGTATTCCAAAAGCTCTTACAATAATTTCAGAATTAACTATTATGATAAATAGAGTTAAAATGTCCTTTTTTTAATTAAAAAGTTGAAAGTTTTATTGAGATGGATTGTTGGGGATTGTGAGGGTTTTTGGCCATATTGGGTAACAAAACATGAACAAAGGAAAATGAAGACTTGTTTAAAAAAAGATTTAAGACCTGCAACACAATATTTTAGTAAATTTAAGACTTTTTAAGGCCTAAATTTTTGATTTTGGAATTTAAGACATTTTAAGACCCTGCGGAAACCCTGTTTAAACACAATAGCCCTGGTAATTAGTTATAATAATGTAATTCTAACTCAGATAATATCTGTGAGAACTAGTAACAACTATAAAAACATAACATGGTTTAAACCCTTAAAGAAGTTGAGAAAAAAGGGAATTGTGATCAATGTGACATATGCAAATGGAAAGTACTAAGCCAACACCATCAAAGTAATAGCAGATATCTTCTATAAGAATACTGTAGGTCAAACATCATTAGCTCAGTTCAACCTTATTTTAATATATTGTTTTTGTTTATTTTAGCACTAGTGCTCAAGCATGCTTTACAAACATAAAGAGAACAAGAAAAATTATAACCTTAAGAAGGTAGTGAAAATGGGAGACTAATAATACATAAAATAATGACAAAAGACATGAGAACAAGTGACGAAAGAAACTCATTCCTGTCTTTCAATGAGTGCTTATGTGCATTTAGGAGAACTAGGCAGCATACTCAGGGCTGCAAGATGGATTTAATTTAGTATTCTTATTATTAAAATATATCTGAATGAGGATCAAATGACTGAGTTGGTGTTAGAGAATGAAATCTGACCTGTTTGTTCCTGCAGATCTTCTTGTTTGACTGAATGTTTCTTCAATCTTCACATCTTCACTCTCCTCTTTAATAAACGCCATCTTTATACCAGTGTGGAGATCAGTCGCTTCAGCAGGAGTTTTTCTGTTTAGACACTTTATCCTGTTTAAAATGAACAAAACAATAAAAATGTTTAGTTTAAAATAAATAAAACAATGAACAGAAACAAAATAACTTCTCTTCAACACTTGCTTCAACAGTTTCTTTATATGAGAGTAACTAACAAAAAGAAATCAGGTAAGTCCGAGCAAGAAACAATATCCACAAATGAGCTGATTAAAACTAGTACTCCATAACTTATATATAGTGATGTATCCTTAGAATGGAATTACATTATGCTATTTAATAAACCAAGCCTTTCATTAAATAGAGGTAAGTTGGTTTTATATTAACACATTCGGACTTTCCCCTTAATAATATAATTTCTTTAAAGTATAATTTGCAAACTCTAAACAGTGAAATCATATTAGCAGCCAATGACTATCAAAGTACAACATTGTTCACAGTCAAATAAACAGTGTTAATGTTGTTTTCAAGTCACACTTGCATGCTAATTCCTATCGAATATTCAAAGTAACATGGTAAACAATATAGAGACTTCTAAATGAATGAATGTGGGAATATAAAACTAACTTTACCTCTATCTTCATTGAACACTTATTACACACATTTCTGTTGCTTTATTCAAACAATAGCCCTCATTACTGTAAAATAGTACTTCGTTGTATAAAGGGTAAAATAATATTGTCAACAGCAGGAACATAATTTAGCATCAGATGAAAATCCTGAAACTTTAATCAATCACTTTATATTTATGTAAATGTTTTAAAACAAACCTTTCTCCAGCTGAATGCAGCGCAGGAGCGGCGCAGCCTTATGACGTCACACGCCACGCCAAAATAAAAGTCTTATTGATACATTTTTACCTCGTCTTCTACTTTACACTTGCTCTCTCTCTCTCTCTCTCTCTCTCTCTCTCTCTCTCTCACACACACACACACACACACAGATGTTCAGTATTTGAAGTTGATCAAAACCTTTAATCTAAACATTTTTAAGACAAATTTTGAAAAACGTTTTTGGGTCATTATCCGTATAAAGTGCCTTTAAGACATCAAAATAAAAAATAAAGTTTAGGATTTTTAATTTAACCACAAAGTTGTATTATTTAGACATTAGACTGTAAGAATGTTGGTGAAGCCCCTGCACTTTTTACAAATAATCTGTGTGTGTGTGTGTGTGTGTGTGTGTGTGTGTGTGTGTGTATAAGTGTTATAACAAAAACATTCACTAATTAACAATAAAATATTAAATAAATAAATAAAGTGTCAATAAAAATGCATTATGATTTGTAACAGGGTAGACAATGACAGAGAAGACATTTTTGGCTAAAGAGAGCATTTATTCAACACAGTTTGTTCCTGCCGCTGGTAAAGTGTTTACTAGTGATGGTGAAATGAAGCTTTCTGAACCAGTGAAGCGCTCGACTGAATTGTATCGGAAAGAGGTTCGTTACTCGAAGCTTTCCAAATCAGAGCTCAATGAGAACCTCATCTTCTGGTGAAAGTGTGGGAAAGCATTAGCTGCAATAATGTCAAATGTTCACAACTGACCAACTCATTCATGTAGTAATACAACAACAGTAATATAAACAAATTACTCAATTACTGTAGTTTTTATACATAAGGTATGTTACATTACACCACTGATGACCGTAGTAAAATCCAGGATTTTCAAAACTATTTACATTTATCATATTCCAACCAGTCCTTCACCCACCCACTCGTTCCAAGCAGGGATCGAACTAGTGTTTCCTGCATGGGAGACAAATGCTCTAGGAGGAGGCTTTGTAAGTGATGCTTTTGGACTGCACTCGCCAGCTGGCCTCCGTTAAACACTATACTCCGACATGCAGGGGTTTTCTTTAAAGATAGTTGTAAAAAATACACTAATACACTTTAGTATGGTTCAAAACCTTTTTACTATAAATTAGTATTGTATTTTAATTTAATTACTGGTGTGTGGGACAGGTGCAGTGCTGTGAAACAGTAGAAATGTATGTAATCGACGCCTAATCTCTCGCTATACACTTTACTAACCCATGAGGGTGTTTAAATCTTTGAATCAAAATGTGAAGCAGTCACGTGGGTATAGGCGAAAATGAAGCTTCGGACGTCACTGATCACGTGATGATGGCAGAACGAATCAAGCTCCTGTACACTGCTTCACTGCGAGATGTATCGTTTTTTTTTTTAAACATGCTTTGAAGCCTCGGCGCACAGTCACATCACTAGTGTTTCCTTATTTAAGCTCTTTGTAAACAGTTTATAAGCTGTATTTTAATCTCTGAATCTGAATTTTTTTAAATAATAATTACTATTTCACTCTGACAGGGTGGACATGTTAAGCTTGACAACATCCAGTTTCAAACACAACATGAGGGAAAAAAGCAAACACAAGTGTAGATAGTTACTGTGAGCACAGCAGATGTTTTCACCTCCTCTGAAGAAAAGCAAATTGGGCATGAGGATGCCAATGAGTACATCAGAGGGGTCTTAAAGGGGCATTTACCACATCATGACAGGGTGGACAGCAATTTCAAGGACACGTGCAAAATGATTAATATAATATTATGAAAATAATATAAAAGTTATTAAATTGATTTGTTAAACAACCTGTTAAAGATAATGAGAATATTTCCAAATATTTTTAATTTGATCTAATTTACCAACATTTTAGACTCACTGAAGTTGTCTGCAGTGTGTGGACATGGCAAAATCACATCCATTCAATGAAAGAATGACGTAAAAATTTACAAAAACATATTTCAAAACACTGATAATTCTACCTGCATGTGCGTAGAGGTTTAACCAATATCAAAACATCAGAGTTTCTTTATTGCACATTATGTCCATATAATACTGTTCAATCATGGGACATCAAAGGCACTTTTTAGTGATAATGACCAAGCTAGTAAAACTAAAACATGAAGTAGTAATGGGTACTTTTATACTTAAAGGGCACCTATTTTACCCCTTTTCAGCATTTAATATAAGTTTGTGTCTCTAGAATGTGTCTGTGAAGTGTCAGCTAAAAACACCCATCAGTTTATTTGTTATACCTTTTTCTGCTTTACACACTTAGTCTTAGTGGATTAAACAAGTTTTTTTTTAATTGTCTTAAAAATGTTTAGAGTAAAGGTTTTGATTTCCAATTCCAAATACTGAAAAAAAAAAATATATATATATATATATATTTGTGTGTGTGTGTGTGTGAGGTGAGAGAGAGAGGGGGAGAGGGAGAGAAAGTGGAAAACGAGGGATAAATGTAGTCAAGAAGTCATGACTGCAACAGCAAGTGGCAAAAAAGCGAAACAAAAGAAAAGACTTTTATTTTGGCGTGGTGTGACGTCATAAGTCTGCGCCGCTCTTGCGCTGGATTCAGCTGGAGAAAGGTTTGTTTTAAAGCGTTTACACTTATACACGTATATAAAGCGATTGATTAAAGTTTCAGGCTTTTTTCATCCGATGCTAAATTATGCTGTTAATGCATAATGCTGCTGTTGACAACATTATTTTAACGCTTTATACTATGTAGTATTATTTTACTTAGTAATGAGGGCTATTGTTTGAATAAACTAAAGAAACAGAAACAGTGTGTAATAGGTGTTTTAATGAAGGTTTAATTGATTAAAAAGCATAATGTCATTCCATTCTAAATGTACATCACTATATATGAGAAACGTAGTAGTTTTTATTAGCTCATTCTTTCTAGCTCAGACTGAAGTTGGTTTTATATTCACACATTCGTTCATTTATAAGTCTCTATATTGTTTACCGTGTTACTTTGAATATTCAATTTGAATCAGCATGGCAAGAATGACTTCTAAACAACATTGTTTATTGGTTTGTGAACAATGCTGTACTTTGATAGTCATTGGCTGCTAATATGATTTCACTATTTAGAGTTAAAAAATAATACTTTTATGAAATTATATTATTAAGAGAAAAGGTCTGAATGTGCGAATATAAAACCAACTTTACCCCTATGATTAGACATACCTGATTTTTTTTTTGTAACTGTTGAAGCAAGTGTTGAAGAGAAGTTATTTTGTTTCTGTTCATTGTTTTATTTATTTTAAACAGGACATTTTTATTGTTTTGTTCATTTTAAACAGGATAAAGTGTCCAAACACAGAGAAAAACTCCTGCTGAAGCGACTGATCTCCACACTGTTATAAAGATGGCGTTTATTAAAGAGGAGAGTGAAGATGTGAAGATTAAAGAAACATTCACAGTCAAACAGGAAGATCTGCAGGAACAAACAGGTTAATTTTCATTCTCAAAAACCAACTCAGTCATATAGGGTAAAGTTGATTTTATATTCGCTCATGCGTTCATTTAGAAGTCTCTATTTTGTTTACCATGTTACGTTGAATATTCGATTCAACGAATCCGATATTCGGAATTAGCATGCAAGTGTGACTTCTAAATAACATTAACACTGTTTATTTGACTGTGAACAATGCTGTACTTTGATAGTAATTGGCTGCTTATATGATTTTGCTATTTTGAGTTTGCAGATAATACTTTTATTAAGTTATATTATTAAGGCAAAAAGTCTGAATGTGTCAATATAAAACCAACTTTACCTCTATCTCAGTCATTTGATCCTCATTCAGATATATTTTAATAATAAGAACACCAAATTAAATCCATCTTGCAGCCCTTAGTGTGCTGCCTAGTTCTCCTGAATGCACATAAGCACTCATTGAAAGACAGGAATGAGTTTCTTTTGTCACTTATTCTCATGTCTTTTGTCATTATTTTATGTATTATTAGTCTCCCATTTAGTACGCCTCAGAACGCTTATGGGCGCACAAATGAGCGCTAATGCATTTGCTATAAAAACGCCTCAAAACCACTCTTGCGCCAAGCTGATACTAGCAAAGGACTATTGCGCCGCACCTTGCGCTACATTGCGCTGGGTGTATGATAAGGCCCTGAGTCTTCTTTACTTTACTTTACTGTAAACATGACATCGTCTTCATTTTTTGTTATGTGGATGGCTAGTGGCCTAAACGAATCCGGTAGTCCTCGGAGAACCATCGCTATGGTTAGTCCATCACTCATTAATTCTCCAGCATTCCTTAGAGCTGTAATGTTGTTTTCTGCTCGTATCAAATAGTCTGTAACGCTCTTACTGTCACTCGTGCAGCTGAGTCAATGCTGTGTACATGTTTATTATGCGTGGTTTACTTTTGCCTGAATAATGCTCTTTCGGTATTTTTAGGGCTTTTCTCCTGTCATCGGCTGCATCGTGTCTACCAGTCATAGGCTTTTATCATTGATCAGTTCAGCATAACAATCAGTGTTCTTCCGCCTGTCCTCGGCTAGTTGCTCTGCTTCAGCATCAGTAGGCTGATGTAATATAGTTTCTTTTAGCTTCAGAGTGTGTAAATATCCTAGAAATTTTGGCTCCCATAGATCAAATTTTTCTTCTGATCCATCGAACATAAACTGCGGTGCTAGATATCCTCCCGCTCTGCTTACCATCTTTGCTTACTTTGCACCTGAATACAACGTGTTAACTTCGCTTTCTTAAAAACGATCGCTTGTCTCGCTGCCTGGGCCCATAACCTGTTGAGCTTGGAGTGCGTAGCTTAGGCACTAGACAGAACGAATCATTTTATCAGCGTCTTTTATTACTCACTTTCACATGCTCTCTCTGTACAGCATGAACACGAGACGGTAACACTTCTGCTTATCAACAGTATAACGTGGAGACTAGAGCTGCAACAACGAATCGATTAAATCGATAAAAATCGATTACTAAAAGCGTTGGCAACGAATTTCATTATCGATTCGTTTGTTTCAATTATGCAGCATTTTAACTGCCTAATAATTCATTTATGTTTTAGATATGTAAATACACACAAGTACTAGTAAAACAAGACAATTAGTTTGTAAAACACACAAGAAAGTCTAACAATCCATTCAAATATAAATTGCCGATGTGTTTATTCATATCAGATACACATTACACATAGTGAAAGTAACTATAAAGTTGAATCTAGGCTTTTCTAAGTTCACCAAACATTTACTTGCATGTATTTTTGGAGTAACTTATGAATGTACCTGCTGAATCCTGCGTGTTCTGCTTTTATGAATGAGGCAGCGGCCGCAAGTAAACATGGAGACGTCCATCTCATGTTATAAATCACGATTACTTGCACGTTTATGTGAATTGGAATATCAGGTAGTTGATGGCATGATGAGCAAGTGTGTGAATGTTATCTTTTTTGGATCATTAATTTTTCCATCTGTTGTCATGTATAGCTGCACTGCAGAAAACTTTTCTTTCTTAATCATTTTGTCTCGTTTCCAGTTCATATATCTAAAAAAATATTACATCAAGACCAGACAAGAAAAATAGCATGAGAAAACGAAGTGATGCTGTTTGAGATTATATCTTATTAAGATAAATTTTCTCACCCCATTGGCAAATAATTAGCTTGTTTTAAGCAAACTATCATTAAAGTTTGAGGTTAAGTGATTTCTTATGGAATTTCATGTGTCTATTAAGTATCTTCATTTAAAAACATTTACATATTTGGATTGAAAACAGTTTATTATTATTATTATTATTATTATTATAGGCATGAGCTTTTTTGAATAAAGGGTTGGAAAGGGCTTTTTTTTTATCCGATTAATCGAAAAAATAATCAACAGATTAATTGATCATTAAAATAATCATTAGTTGCAGCCCTAGACGTTAAACACGTAAACAACATGATGTCATCACTACAGTACCGTAATACACTGAAACATAATTATGAACCCCTCAGTGATAAATATTAATACAATTAGCAAGAGTGCCAGTTAGGGATGTAACTGTATCAGAATTTCATGGTACGATAATACCTTGGTATGAATGGCACGGTACGGTATTTATTGAATAATTTACAGGAAAAACAAAACTACTTAAAACTACTAAGACTCGAAAAAAGTACCAAAAGTGTTTATTTACCTTAGCACTGAACATATCAATGACATACAAATTAGCCATCTATCTGTAAGTTTCGAAACAAGAACTTCAATTTTTCAATTTTAATAACAAAAAACTATTAAACCATATTAAAAAAAAATAAAGTTTCAATTTAGTATTGTTGAAAACTCATCACATTCACCATTTAATCACTCACTCACTTAGATAGAGATGGGTTTTTTAAGAAAAATTATCATATAACTATAATCTGGTAAAAGCTGGGATCTCTGGGCATGTCCCCGGCAACAGAAGAAAAAAAAAAAAACCTCTCATTTGGGACTGAGGTTTCTGGGACAGAGAGATATGATTTAGCCAAGGTTGACAGCAGTGGGTAACGTTGTGCATTGTCTCTCCACCACTTGAGAGGACAAGCCATGAGTGAGATAGAGGTCTCTTTATGGTACAAGTCAATGTCTGCATCAATCTAACAAGTGTGCTGTGTTCTGCAGTCACCATGACTGTCTTTAGTCGTATTCCCCGACTTATATTTTACCATAGTCTGGCAGTGCCTGCATACTGTTTTTTTCTTTGTCTGTCACCTTTTCTCCTTTATCGTATCTTTTTAGAAAGAAACCGAATTTTTTCCACACATCCGATTTAAAACCCGCTTTAGGTTCGATCATTTCCAGCTCTTTTTCTTCCCCTCTACTAGCAACACACTCCATTTCCGCATTACTGGATCTGTAGTAACAACAGACCGGAAAGAATGATGGCCACGCCTAGGCTGATGGGAATTGTAGTTCCCGCTACCTCCCATTCGCTTCATTTGCCTAAGCAAACTTTTTTCAGAAATATAGTTTTATTGAGTCATGCACCTACGGTAACATTGAAAACAATTACTATTGCGGTATGACGGTATTTACAATATTGTTACATCCCTAGTGCCAGTACTTTAATATAAATAATACGCAGTTATCACAGGTAATAGACACAGTGGAGAAAACTCGCACTAAAGGCACGATTGTGTCCGGATCCAATATTATCGCTTAAACAGACAAGAGGAGAGGAAAGCCAGCGCAGCAGGTCAAATGTACAAAGTGAGAGAGAGGCAGAGATGTAGTTTTACAGCATTTCTCTGTATAGTGAATTAGTGGCTCGTGTGCTGTGCAGCTTTCACTCGCCCTTGCCTCTGTCCTAGTATTGCGACATCGTGCATAGGAGATGAATGACGTTAGTATGTAATAACCGGTTATGATCTATTACTGAACCAATATCGATCATTTTCACACCGCTAGTAAAGAGTAACGATGCAGCACATAAAAAGTTTATCAGAGTAAAAGTATTAAACTTATCGAAAATATGTACTTAAGTAAAAGTGTAAGTAGGAGAAAAATACAATACTCCAGTAAAGTACAGATACTGCCTTTTAGTACTTAAGTACAGTAGTGAAGTAGTTCTACTTCTTTACTATACATCTTTAGAAAGGTGCACATTTCAGCCTTTATGCAGATGTTGTACAGATATGTCTCATGTCTGAGAGGTAAATATTCAGCTGTTACCTCAGAACTTTTTTTTTTCTGATGCGTTTACCAGTCAGGCACAGAATGAACAAGTATTCCCTGTCATTTTGTTGTAATTATAAATATATACAAATAAAAATAGGCCATTAACAGTGTAACTACCCGCTGGTTATTAAACAGTCCACACTTCCAAATACTGATGTCCACCATGCGTTTCATTTAATGAACACCGTGAAGACTAAAAGATAAACAAATAAACAAACCAAATGTTTCACACAAACACAAAATCAAAAGGACATCAAAATAAACAAATAATATATAAAACAATGTTTAGTTTACCGTGTTGGCCTGATAACCAGCTGTAAAATAAGCAGGTGCATTAAACAGGTGCTTGCATTGAGATCTCACTATCCTGAGTGACCATACAAACTCTCGCAGGTTAAATCAATCAATGAGAATCATGTGACTTTCCACTCAAGCCAACCGGCAACAAAGAAATTAGTAACAAACATATACCAATACACATTCAAATAATGAAATTCAAAACCATAAACAAAATTACAAGCTGACCAATCAGCGTCAGCTACAAACAGCTTGCAAATCTGTGTCTTATTAATATGACCAAAAATACTTTTATGAGAAACTTGGAAAACTGGACTGACACGGTTTCAATTTACTATAACTTCTATGTTAAGTGTCTTTTACACAATTTACATTGTAAAAGCACTAGATAAATGAAGATGATTGGAATCTGCTTAAATGTGTACACGTTAATAGACCAAACAAACTATGATCTGATTTATTTTACATTTAATGTGCATCAAAGTTACAGTGTGTGTGTGTTTTGATGAGAGTTTTTAAGACTTAATGAAAACTAATGTTTATTCATTTCAGACCTAATTGGAGACAAGGAGGGGAGTAAAGAGGAGGAACATCATGTTAAAATTGAGGACAAAACTCATTTACAGACTGATGGTATATTGAAAAGGAGAGACGAGAATCGTTTCACTTGCACTCCGTGTGGAAAGATTTTGGGAAGCAAAAGCAAACTTAAGATTCACATGAGCATCCACACAGGAGAGAAACCATTTACATGCACTCAGTGTGGGAAGAGTTTCAGCAAATCATCATCCCTTAATCAACACATGAGGATCCACACTGGAGAGAAACCATTCACATGCACTCTGTGTGGGAAGAGTTTTAGCTTATCATCATCCCTTAATCTACACATGAGGATCCACACTGGAGAGAAACCATTTACATGCACTCGGTGTGGGAAGAGTTTCAACTGCTCATCAAACCTTAGTAAACACATGATGATCCACACTGGAGAAAAACCATTCACGTGCACTCAGTGTGAGAAGAGTTTTAGGATATCATCATCCCTTAATCTACACATGAGGATCCACACTGGAGAGAAACCATTCACATGCACTCAGTGTGGGAAGAGTTTCAGCCAATCATCATCTCTTAATAAGCACATGAGGATCCACACTGGAGAGAAACCATTCACATGCACTCAGTGTGCGAAGAGTTTCAACCGATCAGAACACCTTAATCTACACATGAGGATCCATACCGGAGAGAAATCATTCACTTGCACTGAGTGTGAGAAGAGTTTTACCTGCTCATCAAACCTTAATCTACACATGAGGAAACACACTGGAGAGAAACCATACGCATGCACTCAGTGTGGGAAGATTTTCAGCCAATCATCATGCCTTAATCTACACATGGTAAGCCACAACGGAGAGAAACCATGACCTACGAAACTCTGACGGACTCTGACCTGCGAAATCGCATCACTTGACTGTGTGAGACCAATCGAAGATCAAAACATGACCTCTCTGGACTGAAATTTAAAAAAATGTACCAATCGCTCACTTTTTAAAATGTCTAATCATCTTGTTTGTTCCCGCTCCTTTTCGCAACGCCGTACAACAGAATTTTGCATGCTCAAACTCTATTGTGACCGCAGCTTCGGTGTGGGATGAGTTTCAGCACATCCTCAGACCTTAATAAACGCATGAAGACCCACACTGGGAAGAAACCATTGACATTCACTCAGTGTAAGAAGAGTTTTAACCGATCAGCAAACCTTAATGAACACATGAAGATCCACACTGGTGTGAAAGAGTATATGTGTTTTGAGTGTGAGAAGACTTTTATTACAAAATTGAAACTGCACCAGATGTTTTACACTTGAGAGACCGTACAAGTGTTCACACTGTGACAAGAGGTTTAATCAGTGAACACATCTGAATCACACAAAAGAGGATTCACACTGGAGAGAAACTGTACATCTGAAATCTGATGTGTCTACAGAATTGGACAAAAAGTTGCAGACATTACATGAATGCAGCAAAACATTTTCTCGTGTAGGGATGTCCCGATACAAAATTTTAACTTCCGATACGATACCGATATTGCAGCCTTCAGTACGAACCGATACCGATATATATCCGATATCAGCAAAAATCATGAATACTTTACTTTTTTAATTTTATAAAATATCTTAATTGAATAAACAAAAATAAATTTTTAAAGTGCAAAATGCTAATTAAAGGTCATTTCAGTTATAAATTTTTTTTTATCATCAGCAAATCGTAGAAACAGCTGAGAGCAGGAACATATGAAAAAAAATATTGTTAATTGAACAACTGCTAAAGGTTCAGTGTCCAAAGTTTCGATTTCAAACACAGCTTTTTGGTGAATTTTTGTTCCAGTTGAGCTGCAAAATATCTTTCAAGCTGGGCTCCAGAAATAAGTTATTGTTAATTAATAAAAATGTGCAGTATGGTTAGTACAAACATTTTCATGACCAGATCTATTTAATCTTTGTTTGTATCATAAGAACATTATGGCTGTATCAATGTTCCCAAACATTATTAATTTTATAATAATATATATTGCACATATTATCTTTAACATAACTATACTTGCAGAAGCTGGATTGAAACACACCTTTTCTCCACAGCACATACAATAATATGACTTTTAAGAATAATTTTATTTATGAAAATTCATTATATTTACATAATATATTGCACAGATTCCACCCTACTGTCCACATCGAAAAAAATTGACAATGTAAAGACAGACAGAACTGCGAACTGATGTGCAAAGCTGACACTGTTTATCAGAGCACTTTATCTTTCTGGGCTTTTTAACGAAGAGTTAAACATGAGAATGTCTCTAATTAAATTTTCCTTCTGCCCCAAAAGTAATATCATTCTTTCTTTTAAACTGTAATGGCCATCAGCAACAGAATGATTTCTTATTCCTATTTAACAGACGATGAAAACAACAAAAATGTTTAGCATTTTACATGACACGTTTCCTTTTAGAGTGTTCAAGTAAAAAAATAAAATAAAGAATAATAAATCCACTATTTCACTCCTACTATCCATGTGCACCACTGACAGGTCAAATCTGCTCCCTCTCTAGTCTTGGTGCTGCTGAGAGATTGAGATTCACCGGCCACTGTTTGCTTGTAATAATGTAGAAACGCAGCTAAAGAAAGCAGAATCCGGGACATGATAGGCGATTTAGAAATCCTGGCTGAATGCATTTTTAAGGCGCAAATAGAGGACGTGTCCGGGAAAAAGACAATGTATTTTCACCCTAAATAATGAGCTGGATCAGTCTATTTAGTAAAAGGCTTTTTTTTCTGCGTGTACTCTTCTCAAAGTTAAAGTCAGAGCAGGTGTCCAGCGTGTCTCTGTGGGTCTGCAGCAGCAGAGCCCGCGAGTCTGTGGCATAAACTTTTCTCACGCACACAGAACCGGGCCGCTGAGGTAGTCTTATGTGTGGGAAGCGCTGGTGTTGAATTAGGTACATTGGATGCACCAAGACATGCCATGACGGAATTAAGGCTCGCACGATGTGTGCTACGTCGCAATTCGGTCCCTTGTGTTGCTTAGCAGCATATACAAAACAATGTAAAGATCGCTTGGCGTGAAGTAAATAAACCAGTAACGTTAGACATGTATGGAACCAGATTAGTCTCCAAAGAAATTCACGCAAAAGACACGATGTACACATGTGTAGCCAAATTCACGTGCATAAAACCAAATTCACGTGCGTAAAATATTTATTTATATTCACAAAAAAATTTTACGGGCACAAAATAAAAATACATTTTCATAAAATACGTTTCACAAATGCAAAACACCATTTGCAAATGTATAAGACAAAAAGTTTTGAATGTTTAAAACTTGCGAGTTCATCCTGGATGAGAATGTGCAAATCCTCTTTCACGTACAACTCCCCCTGGATACGTGTGTGTGCATTTTTGAGACTTTCCTGCCAGAGTCAGGGTAACTCGTACCTTTCAGCCAATCAGATGAGAGCTGTATTCAATGAAACCAACTCTGCGCTTCATTTGTGCAGACTGTTTCTCTCCAGCATTGCGAACGGAGAAAGCAGCAGTCGCACTTTTTTTCATTTATTTATTTGTTTCACCATATCCTCACTCTTTTTGGTTATCATAAGTATCATTCCGGCCATATCAGTATTACAGAGCCATTGTGGTCCAGTGGTCAGCACGTTGTGTTACCATGTCCTTGGACCCGTGTTCGAACCTCACAGAAGTTGGTACTTTTTTCCTTCAATTTTATTGTTAAAGAGCCCATATTATGGGTTTTTGAAAATTCCCCTCCATGTAGTGTGTAACACAGCTCTAAGTGAAGTGAAGTATCCAGCTAAGGCTTAAATCTGTAAGAGTACAGTGTTTAAAACGGTTGATTCATCTATAAAAGAGTCGACTCGTAGTGCTTCAAACGAGTCGCCTTGATACCGACTCATTAGGTGTTTCGCCATGACGTACGAACGAAACCAAGTTATTCACGTGCACGCGCAAACCCGGGAGATTTCAAACCTGAGGCCCCGCCCTCTGACGCAGAAACCCAGACACACACGCACACCCACAAACACACGCACACCCACAAACACACGCACACAAACATGCCGGTCGATTGAAGTCACACTGCAGATGGATATATTGAGTCTCTACCCAAAGATGAAACCTCAGCATTATAACCAAGCAGTTGGAAACTTCTGGAAGCTACATGCTACAAAGAATACTTCATCTGAGTTTGTTAAAGGAAGGATCAGTAAAGAGTAACTGATGGACGTCAGGATGGGTTTCTTCCATTTCTCAAGTGTAAGTACGTGCGGTTAAAGTTGTTGCCTCGTTGACTCTAGCTTGCAAATGTATTTAGTTGTGATTTGTTACTTGTAACCGCGTGTACTGTATCAGGTTAACTGGATATTTTATCTTATCGCAAGCAAAGTCACGTTAAAAACGCGACGCGTGCTGTTTGTTTATGGAGCTCCGTGCTAGAGTTCTGCTCCCGCGATTTATTCGGAAATTTATTCCCGCGCCGCAGAAATCTGGCGCGGGGACAGCCGCGGGAATAAATTTCCGAATAAATCGCGGGAGCGGTCGGTAACGGGTTTAATTTGGGACAGGAGCGGGCAGTCTAGCAATATCACGGATATTGCTATGCGAATTAGAAAGAGAGAGTCTGCGTGGTGCTTGTGTGTGTGTTAGTGCGCACGCGCGCGTATGAGAGAGCGAGAGAGAGAGAGAGAGCGAACGAACGAACGAACGAGCTTTGTGCTGTGTGTGTGTATTTATACAGACAGCTTGGCTGTCTGGACTGTATACTGGGTGATTTTTGGTTGTGTTCTCCGCTCTAGCGGGACCGGGCGCAGCGGGCAGAAAACGGAGCGGTTTCTCAGGCTAAAACCTGGCGGGTGCGGGCGGAAGCGGGAGCGTTGTCATCCGGAGGTGTGTGTGTGTTTTTGTGTGTGTGTGGTATGGCGAGTACACGACTGTCTTCTTCGTTTGGTTATCCGTGGCACTATCCACTCGCCATAGTGTGGCAGCTAAAATTCATGTCTACACTATCGAGCGTGTATGAACTGTGATTACTTTTTAAATTGCTGATTAGCTATTGGCCATTTCCCTCTCTGACTGAAGGCAGTCGACCAATCGCGACAGACTGTCATCGGTCCAATCAGCGCAGATTAGCTCCGCGCTAAGGAGGGGTTTGGGAACAAATGAATCACTGGACGATTCATACAGGAGTCGCTGGGATAATTAGGTAAAAATAAATGCAGATTATAAGACCATGAAAGTGTTTTTTGACCTTGCATGCATATTAGACTGTTGTTGGAGACCCTTACAACCAGGATATGACCCTATTTCATGTATAATATGGGCTCTTTAATACATATAAAACTGTAAGGTTGTTGAACATTTGAAGTTCTAAAGCAGCTGTTTTCTTGAAAAAGACGTAATAGTTTCATCAGAAACTGAATGAAACTGAAAAAAAAGATATTTACTCAGGTGAGGATCTTTATTTTTTTTCTGTTTCATTCAGTTTCTAATGACACTATCACGTCTTTTTCAAGAAAATAGCTGCTTTAGAACTTCAAATGTTCAACAACCTTACAGTTTTATATGTCTTAACAATAAAAATGAAAAAAACACAGGAACACAGGTCTAAGAGCATGGTAACCCAATGTGCTGACCACTGGACCACAAAGGCGCTGCAATAAGAAAAGCGGAGCTGCGTCAAAATAATGGATAAAAAGAGTGAGGATATGGTCAAATAAATAAATGAATGAAAAAAAGTGCGAC